GGGCTCTGGCCGGATGAGTCATTCGACCGCCGCCTACCGTAAGTACGGGGAGCTGTCGAAGATTTCAAAATACCATCTTCACTGTTCAGGGTAGAGAGACGTATGTATATATTCGGCCAGTAGCGGTGAAAAAATTTTTATTGGATTACTATTCCCCGGAGTCCTAAATTGTGAGAGAGCCCTGTAGATGCCCTACATTGAGCCCAAAAAGTTTTGCAAGCGTCTGGGACGGACGCATTTTATGAGAAAGCAAAACGAGCCCATGCATCAAGGAATCGAACCTTGATGGCATGCCTATGAGCCCACCACACTATCCCCCAGAACACCGTTGCACAGGTAAGTGCTTTGCTCGGCTCAGTGATCCGTTCAGCGCAGTGGTATAACACAGGGAGGCCCCAGTCCCGTAACTTCGTTCCCAGAATCGTTTCGCAGATTTGGAATACAGATTTGGGATCAACGTTCGAAACCACCTTCAGGGGTATACGTCTCATTTTGAATGGCCGCTACGACCAAGTATCCTTCCCTTGTAAGCTAAAATAGAAGCTACCAATGAGTTACATGTTAACTTGGTGCGCCAACCGTTGCTTTCTTCAGCTCACTATTACCTCCAATTGCTTGCTTCCGTCATAAATCTTCCGTATCATGAATCCCCACACGTTTACACATTTCGTCTATCGCCCCTGACTAGTTGCTTTCCACGTTGTAGAACGTTTTTGAACAGAACTACGAGCTTTTTCAAACAGGACTTTTACAAACATCTCAATGCACGTCCTGCCCACTGTGGGAGAAGCTTCGACATGTTTACGTATGTCCGGCACGCATAAGGACTCGCACATTTCTATTTTTTTCTGGCGTCGCGCTCCCGTTTAATCGAGTTGTGATCTTACGTGGCAAGTACCGCCCACTGCAAGAACGCTCCGCTCACCGCCGGTGGGTCTACTTGATTTCACTTGTTGACCCATCCCTCACCTTTGCCCATTTTTTCCCGACATCTGCACTATTTTGAAACCCAACTCAGACATTTTGCACAAGACACCGCCCACTGTCGTGCATGCCCTGCCCTCTGTGTGCCGAGCAGAGCTCATATGTATGTGCTCTGTTGGTCTTGTCCTATGCCCAACCCATCCCAACTTGACCGCACTTCTGCAGGTGCTTCTTCAGGTAATATCGAATTTTCGTACGAGCAAACAGACAGACAAACAGACAGACAGACAGAGCGCTTTATAAGGATAAATCTTGTAACCCCTGATGCGCGTGCTGACCACAGGAGATAAACGAAGATATAACATCTCTGGTGGATTTCTCCGTTATAGAAAAGGTCATTTTTCACCATATGCAGACGCTTAGCTCTCTTCATTCCACTCTTGATAACATGCGCGTGGAAGAACAAACTTTGGAAGACTAAGATGCCCTTACGTTTGGTGCATACGCATAGAAGCTGGGAGTATCTCCTCAAACCACGGAGGTCTACCAATTAACGTTGAGAACTAATTAAGCAACGTCCAGGGAGATTCACGATGATAACGATGTTACCGGTAACGTAAATTTCGTGGAAGGAGTTGAAGAGTCGCTGAGGCAGAATATGTTGATGCTGATGGACAAAATTTGCTAAAAAGTCGTTAAAGCAGATTTCGAAGAATTGGGAAACTGCCGAGTGAAGAAATGCTCACTGACGAAGGGATTGTTAAAGCAGATGTTGGAGAGCCAGATGAGGAGGGAAATGTTGGGGCAGAAAATGAGAATGTTGACGTCGACATATTGATCAGAGAGAGTGATCGAAAAGTCGCATCCCAATGATCTTTCTGAGGGCACAGAAGGGCAAATGGTGCTAAGAGCAGAGCAAAAGACTAGATGCGGCTCGCTAGCACTACGTACCCCTGAAGATATTTAGCGCCACATAGATGAATACATTCGACCTAGGAGATTTGATTATGGGCATAATAATAAGGCTCACGAGCATTCAAGCCAATCATTCCGATTCCTGCACTGCTTTGCCCGACATCAAAATTTGGAGAGGTCTCGAGCCAGTTTGCCTGAACGGGTCCCTTCGTAGGGAACATCTCACGACCACCTCCTATTGTCGTGATCGCGGCCATCATAGTGCACTGTGCGAATCCCAGAAGTATCGTGATCCAATTCGTGCGCGTCAGAACAGAGCCGACGAAGGTCGAAGAAGAAGCATCGCTGAGTCGAAGATTAGCTGTCCTCTTCCACGAGGATTAACTGTTCCAGGGATAAGCCCTTGAATTCGAAGCTAAATCCAAAGCTTCCTTGGCACAAGTAATGCATATGGTGCCCCTGGGTTTTGAGGCCGCTTCATTACATATGCCGAGCCAGAAACGATTCATAAAACGGATGGGAAGATGGAAAGCCTCTAGAGATGGGAAAATGTTTGAAGCTAAGCCTATTGCTCAGATCATAAACAATACACACAGATATTTTACGCGACCTCAGCGCTCTGCCTCACGTGTGCCTATGTTCCTCTTGAAAGTCCAGATGGGTGAGACCTGACATACGCCGTTACCCTTTGCTCTGCGCCATGCGCCCGGACACAGTTTAATTTCTGAACGTTCGATTACGATCCTGGGCCCTTCCGAAATTCCCATTTTCATCACGTTTTGTACCTCATCCCCTAAGGTTTTGGAGTTCAACTTCGAAGATTATTTTCATAGGTTCACGGGATGATTTCATTTGATTCATTATGTATCGCAGTTTAATTACCCGAGATTGAGGTGATTGCGCCATGTGTCAATAAACTGTGGAGTATTTGAAGTGTGAATACTTGTTTTTGGGTACCGGCCGGTGAACCTATCATCACCAACACATGGCACGAACCACTTCTAGAGTGAGTTTTGTCGGAGAATTCGTACGCCGCTTAGCCTTCATTCTCCCACATTCCTCCAAATTTTCTTCATCAATGACCTTAACATGAGATGCAAGACGAAGGGTGTGTGCAGCAAAGAAAGAAGTGAAAGTGACAGTGAAGGAGAAAGGAGCTCAGCGATCGGGAATGACGAGGCACGCGATTGCGACTGTAGCTAAACTGCTTTCATGGTACTATTTAGTTGTCTAAAATGAACCAACCAACTCATCTAATCCCTAATGTGTAGAAGAGATTCATCTCTATAAAGTTTTTACCACAAGTTTTGAAGATTTACGGGCTAGGTTCGCAGTCTATCCTTGCCAGTTGATAGACTGGCAAGGATAGACTGCGAAGATTGACCTGGCCAAGATTGACGCATTTTATATTCCATCTAAACAAACCTGATATAAGAAGATAGTAGACATGCTATAACGGCTAGTTGCATAGACAGCATTTGCGTGACTGTAGGAAGACCTAAGCTTCTATTAGCTTGTCATGTTCAGTAGGTACTGTAACATAAGATAACACGGCAAGCTATGAGCACTACCACTCCAGGATCTGAATGAAACCAAGCTAGTCCAAGGAACGTATGTAGAAAAGAAACACCTGAGATTAATTGCATTGAAGCTGCAAGAGTGAAAACAAATCGTCGCTACTACCGCCTTTTCAAGCAGCCCCTGACCAAATGAGTAATTAAGGATAGATGGTACCCATAATTTGGATTCTGTGTCTTAAGCGTATTTTACCATCTTTTCCAGCATGCTATTTGCACGGTCTAGCAACCCATTTGAACAGTGCGGGAAACTATCTTATCGGGAATTAGAGCTTCGAGCAAACATTGAAAGATGAGGACGATACATATGTATTTCATTACAAATGTCTCGTCATTCCTACCATTCCTACCAACCTTACCCCCTAAGCAAGTAACAAGTCCTCCAGCCCCATCGAGAATAAGTTAGTAAACACAGTAGGCTGCCTAACACTTGGCATAAAAACTCAAGCCCTAATAGAATAAATTCGAACAGAAAACTCAACGGCATTTGGTTCGTGTAGTTGGATAAGCGATAAGAAGACTGTTAGACTAAATTTAAAAACTGATCCAAGAATAGACAAAGAGAACCCAAGAAAAAATTCGGACCAAAAGATTCGATCCTGGTAATTCGCTCAACTTTTCTAAAAAAAAAAAATACTTTGCAACAACTCATTACCTCCGATGGTGAGTAGTCCTGAAGAACCCATTAGTTCCTGGTAAAGTGAGTCATTCACATCCAAGGCAGCCAGATTGATCTCGTTGCGCATATCTCCAAATTCCAAACTCATATCTCTGACTGGAATGAAAATATAACACAGTGTTAAACGTTACAGCCAACCACATTTAATGGGGCATTTGAAAGCTAGTGAAGCTATAATCAACCGAAATATCACCCATTACCACGAGCTTAACCTTTCGAGTAGTTCAGTGGCTGGTTTCCTAGTCCGCCAGCTGAGGGCGACGCCTGTCCTTTGTTAACAAACTGAATCTTGGTCGATACCGCAGGTCGAGTAGTTCACTGGCCGGTGCGCGCGCGCTCGCTGGCCTGCCGGCAAGCTATGAAAGCAGCCAGTCACGTTCGGAATATCGCTTATGAGAACGTTCAAACAGCAATATCATTTGTACCTCTACTGAAAAATGTAGTGTGGTTTGAAGCAATATTTAGCTCCCAAATAGAAGAATTGCGAATTTTAACAAATGTGCAATCCGACCTTGCTAATTCTCAAATCTAATAATACCAGCTAAGCGCTCACAAATGCTTTGAAGTGTCCTTAACATGGGAGAGGAAACTACTCTGCGATAGCTCTTCTCTCTCCGGAAACATGGGAAGGGGTATCCTTTTTAACAGGGTCCATCTGAGCAGAAAGTTCTTAACCAAAGAATAGATCGGTACGCCTACCGATGTTGTGACTACTATTATCTTCCTTGTGCTTTTCACACGCATGCACCCTTGAGATTGCTGAGCGCATCCACATTTCACACCCGAACACCTCAAGAATGATATTGTTCGATGCTTAAGGCCAACTTCTTACTTCGAGCATTCATTGTCCTGCCACTGCACACCAACCACGGTAGGACAATGCACGGTGTGCCTGAAATACGAACAGATTGACCGTTAGACATGCTCTCAGCACGACCCAGATTATTCATGGCGGATATGCCTGACAACGGCAAAACGGAGGATTGACTTGACCTCACGGCGATAGTCTTCCTCTTCTTCCCTTCTTCATGTGAGCGACACCATCTCACCGACTCGTGTTAATGTTATGTGATTCGTCTGGACTCCATGTCTCACAGAAATATGGTCTCATGTTCTAAGGTTATACCAGTTGGGCTCCGCACACTAACGCGTGCGTCACAGTAAATAAGGTGTCGAACAGAGATGATTTTTTTGTCTGCGCTCCATTTTCTAGGTATAGCAGTGGGCTATGATGGGCTATGAGTTTTTGCAAAAAAACTCGAGATCTCTCCGCTTACCGCGTATGAGTCCACTTCGTCCGATTTCTTGGTCTATTCCTGAGCTTTGTCCATTTTTTCTCCGTGTGTGGGCTTCTTCTCAGCAAAATATAGTTCAAGTATCAGTTCAGGAGTTTCAAGTTTTTCTCATCGCACCGCTCATTCCGGTGGATATTCCAACTCTTGTGAGAGATGTTCCCTTAAATTCATATGCGCTCTGTTGATTTTGCCCGAAGTCCCAGCCGTACCAAGGTTGACCCGACTTCTTCAGGTGATAACGAATTTTGGGATAGCAAACGAACTCTTCACGAGGTGGCGGTCACGATACTATCGCGTGAATCCGATATTACGGCGCGGCAAACCTTAGAAGCCTTTTGGATCATGGCTAAGGCCCCTAAATTTAACCGGAGGGAAGAGTGCGTGGCGGTTACCACAGAGCTGGCCCCCTTTGCAGCACTATGCAGCTTTTGACCTACGCTGTCGATTCCCCGCGAGGTCCTCTCGGCGGGGCGGGGAGGAGTTGATTAGGAAGGGGTCAGCGGCGCGCTCGGCCTTGTGTGGCTTTTGAGGGAGTTTGATCTGATGATCAGCCTCTAGGAGGCCCCTGAAGCAAGTTGACCCGAGGCTCACCCCTATTCAAACCGCAGCCACACCAGCTTAGGGTGATCGGTGGACCCCCAAAGGTCGACTCTCCCAAAGGTTAGTTACCAACTTTCGACTTCCTAGTAGCCCACGCCCTCTGAACTTTCTTTACAGATTGAAATAGCGCTTGATCGGATGGTTTTTCAAATGCCTTTTGTCTTTCCAGGCTCCGAGGAAGGTGAAGGCACCGAATCGTCAGCCTAGTAAAGCTTGCTAATATCTCGGTTCTACAGCTTAAAAACTAACTTAAGGTTAAGGGCAGAGTTGTGATTTTTTGATATTCGCTCTGCCTATGTTAGCGCAAGCCCAGGCCACTTTGACCACACCTTCTATAGCCTCGGACCACTTTTTCCAATGTTCTAGGACGCTTCGTAACAGAGATATGAATTTTTGATTATAATCTCGCCCACCTTAGTGCAAGCCCCGTTCATTTCGAAGAATTGACCACACTTTCTATTATACCTCTGAACCTTTTTTTTTGCGCGTCCAAGGGCCTATCTAAATCTAGTTTTTGGTATCAGCCTCCCCCTCACTGCAGTGCACGCCCTCTTCGGAGATTTGAACAAATTCCATCTACTACCTCCAGCCACCTTTTCTCCACGATCTAGAACGTATCTGAACATAGTTATGATTTTCGATCTTAGCCTCGCCCCTCTCCCCCTCGTTGCAAACCCGCCCACTTCAGAATTTTGACCATATTCTTTCTACTTCCTCTAAACACCTTTTTCCCGCGTTCTGAAACGTACCTTAACGGAGTAATGATTTTTCGATCTGAGCCACGCCCACTTTAGAGCCAACCCCGCCCACTTCTGGGATTTGACCACTCTTGTTCTATTACAACTGACCACTTTTTCCCAAGGCCTACAACTTTTCTGAACAGAGTTCTACTTACTTTTGAAAAGTAGCTTCCATTTCAGCGCACGTATCGCCCATTATGGGCGGAGCTTGGCTAGGTTTACGCATGCCTAGCGCGCATAAGGTTCTTTTATCTTTTTTTGGCCTCAAGGCCTTCATTGAATAGAGTTACGACTTTATTTGGGAGTATCGCCCACTGTGAGAACGCTCTGCTGACCGCCGATGAGTCTCCTTCACTTCATTTGTTGAACCATCCCTCACCTTTGCTCATCTTTTCCCGGCGTTTGGACTGTTAAGAGGCCGGATGAGAAAGATTTGCCCAAAACACCGTCCACTCCTGTGCATGTTCCGCTCCTGTGAGCGGAGCTCCGCTAACCTCTCATGCGCTCTGTTGGTCTTGCCGTAGGCTCAACCCAATCCAATCTTGACCCGACCTCTCCAGGTGTTTTTTCACGTGGTATCGGATTTCGTGACAGACAGACAGACAGACAGACAGTTAGACAGACGCGGGCGCTTTATACATGGTAAGGAAACTTTTGTATGTACGCGGATCGCATATAACATTACAATGTAACTCAAGGGCAAGCCATAGTAATCCGATGGCTCAAGGCCGAAACATGATATCATTAGCTCTTACTGTCTTCACTCTTGTACCAGTAGTAATTGCGTGGTTTGTCCCATGCCACATTGGAAAAATATGAATTTTGCGTTTTGGTAAGCTCCTGTGTGAACGAAGAGCCAAGGAGTCGGCCAAGGAGTCGCGATTGCTTCCTCCGAGCTAATTGAAATGAAGGCTGATCACTTCCCCCGACCTAGTTGAAATAAAGGCTGATCATCAAGGCGGTAAGATCTATACAGGGGATCAAGAAACTATACTTTACAAGACTGACTGAGTGGCGAAACTTCCATTCAACTTCCCATTTTGCCTGAGCCGCATGCTCCCTATCTTTTTTTAAAGTCATGTCGTGGTTTTAAATTACAATAAAGTGTTCGGCCTGGCAGTGCCCTTTCTTTGTTGTCTGTTTTGGTTTTTTGATTTGTTGTAATTTTTTTCATAGTCTCTCCGCTATTCCGTTGTGTGTAATAGGGGTTTTAGCCGAAAATTGCGCGATGTGCACATTGCGCGATCTAATGGCTGCTTCCAAGGTCCACCGACCGCCCAGCGAGCGTGCCGGTCGGGGGCCTACATTGCCCGCGATATCGACCAAGATGCAGTTGTAAGCAAGGGGCAAACGCCGTCCCCGGCCGGCGGACTATGAAAGCAGCCAGTCAATCATCGCATCTCTGTGATAGGCGGCGGGTGCAGTGAGCGCGACTTGCCGTTTGGAGGGAAGATCACACACCCACGGCAGCTGCCCACAGCCGCAAGTCGAAATTTTTCAGCACTCGAGCGGTGATGTCCTCCTTGACGCTACATCGAAGTTGATGTACTCCTTGTCCTGAGCTGCCTCTCATCCTTTTGTGAAGGAGGCCTATTTCAGTGAAAATAAATGACTCAGCTTTGAAAAAAGGAAGTTCTTCTGATTACCAGTATGTCCAAATACAGACTCGTACTAGAAATACCAGTTGAGGAGAAATTCTCAATACGCTGCGCATGTATTCGACGATCATGATCTAATTCGCTTTCTACCGATTCTTATTTCGCGTCGACGCCTTAGAGTTTTACGGTCTTTTTTCACAACATTTGTTGTGTTGTTTATGAACTTTGCAGAACTCAGCACACGTAGCGTTCAAGTCTGTAGCGACGTTTTTGCTTGAGATGGAGGGATTACAGATGTCTAGAATTGCTGAAATCTTGTTGCATACCAGTCGGGTTGGGCGTCTAACGGTGGGCTTTCCTCCTTCTCATGACAGAGTAGTAATAACCGACTAACTGGCTCACTTCTTTTTCGTTACAAATTATACTATTTCGAATGCGAAATTTGACAGAGGAATGACAAGGCATGCAAAGGGCACTCAAAATGACGATTAGATGTCTCGATCTGCGCGTGTTTTTCCCGCACGCGGTCGGTGTTCGCCCTGCTCTGCTCCTGTCTATTTCTGTCTCGCTGAGGAGCAAGTTTGATATTCTGTTTTCTATTCTGTCTTCTATATTTCCAACTCCGGAACACTGCGCGCACCCTTGTGGCTGAGGTTAAATCAAGAACTGCCGTGAAAGCATTCTGATCAGGTCATTTTCGTTAAGGATTTTTGTTTCTATTAATAATCGAAGGTTGTTTCGATTGTTCGTCGTCCGTTATTTGTACTGCGGTGTTGCTCATTTCCTTGTGGCAGGGAAAACATCTTCTTTACAAAGTCTCTTTGCCACCTTATTAGGTTGTTTATATGCTGAGTGTAAGCAACTCTTTCACTCATTTGGCCTGTCATATTCAGAACCGGCCCCAAAGGCAGCAACCTTGCGGTTCTCCGGCTGACTTGTGTGGATCACTTACTGCGGCAATCAATAGCCTGTCTTCAGACGACACCCTCTCTCCACACATCAAAGTTATATTGGCATCTATTGGAGAAGAGTGCCGTAACTGAGGACTTACTCCAGCGCAATCATGATTTGGAGGATGAACTTCGTGTTCAACGCTGAAAACGAACGTCTCGAAAAAGAAGTCTATTTGTTGAAGACGGCCTTGGATAAGGAAAATGAGCCTGCCCCCCCCCCTCCCTTTATCGTCTAATAGTGTTTTTTCTGATAATCATGTAAATTGCTGTGAGGAATATAAAAGAATTAGGTCAGTAGTTATTTTTGGTGAAAATGCTGATCCTAGTACTGCTGTTCGCTTATCCTCTGATGCTGTTATTAAGAAAATTTTATTGTTCCTCTCAAATGAATGTATACCTCTCTTTCTTTCGCATGGGTAGGCCGAACCATACCTGGCCGCGTTTACTCAAAGTGGTTCTCCCCACTTCATCTTTTCAGCGGCAACTACTTTCTCGTGCATCCATAGCTCTTCGGTCGATTTTTATTGTTTTGAGTTGCTTTTGCTTGCTTCCCGTTGTTCATTTTCACACGAATCAGTCGTATAATAAATCAAATCAAAATCATGTTGAAACACTTCTCCATTAAGGGTATTTGGGCTGAATGTGATCATTCACGAGCCTTAAGAGCTACTAGGCTTAATGCTGTTAATTCCAATCCTCCAATTAGTCAAAAATAGTATGCCGCTACTATTGATGATCATTCCGACAATGTTTCCTCTCCATCCGAAGATGATGTAATTCCGAATGATATTTCTTCAGATGGTAATCAAACTTCGTTAAACAATTAAGGTTTCTTCGGTGTGCTGATAATAATGAACTATGCTGCATGTTCGCTAATATTAGGTCTTTACCAAGAAATGTTCTTTCTTTAAGCTTTGAGGTGTCACGTCAAGAATGTGACATGGTTGCGTTGACTGAGACTTGCTTGAAAAGAAAGCACAATTTGCAATCCTCGCTAGGCTTTTTTTCGATTTATGAGGAGATTAGGTGCGATAGGCCAAGAAAAAATGGAGGCGGAGTTATTTTCCTACTAAAGAGATCCTTATTTCCCGTCACTGTTAAGGCCGAATCCGTCTCTGATGGGTATGAGATAGTTTCATGTGATGTCTCGTCGCACGGTTGCAGTTATCGAATAATTTTGGTTTATAGAACGCCTCAATGCTCCGCAGAACATAATTGGCAATTGGTTAAATGTATCAGTATTCTTTCATCCTGTAAAAATCCGTGCCTTTTAATGGGTGATTTCAACTACCCGGACATAAATTGGCATGATGCTCTATCTCCGTCTTCATCGCTGTCTAATGATTTCTGGCAAATACTCAGTAATCATGGCTTCTCCCCAATATGTTAATATGTCTACTATAGGAAATCATGCACTTGATTTACTGTTTTGTAATGAAGAAGGGACTATTAACAAAGTTCTCGTTGCTTCATCTTTAGGCTCCACTGATCATGCCTCTATTCACTTCGTTTTGGAGAATCAAAGAAGTAGGCATAAGTCTGTTTACTATCGGAACTTCAGAAACGTGGATGTTAGTGGGATGTCTTCGTATTTGGATAGCGTTGATTGGTTACGTGTTTTTCTTTATTGTCTCGCTAAATGAAATGCATGAAGCTTTTCTACTCATATTGAAACATTGCTTGGATCTCTTTGTTCCTTTAAAGAAGGTCCCAGTCACTTTCGAGCACATTCCCGATAACTTAAGACATTGTTTCCGTCTAAAGGAAAAAGCTTACAGAAAAACTTCTGACTACTGAATTATCAATTGTTGATTAAGTGATTGAGCGCTTTCAGCATAGGCTTTATGCCTCTACTGATGAACGGCCATTTGATGCCTTCGCAAATTTCGCCATGGCTACTGTCTTTTACTGCGCTACTACATGTTTCTCAAAGTAGAATCGCTATTCTATTGGGTTGTAACATAAGTTCGTAGAGTTTTGGGTTAGGGTCATTTTACAATGATTCGCTTTGTTTTTTAGCGAAGTGTATATATTCATTCGAAAGAGCTGTTTCTCCTCTATAAAATATTTTTATTCGTTTTTTGGATAGTCTAGTTGTACGTCTTTTTTTCTGGCTCAGAATTGGAATATCCAGGAGGAGAAAATCAGCATTTTCGACATCTGCCTTTCATCGAGGTCAATAAGCAGCCGAAGCCGCTCGGGACATATGCAATGTGTACGAAGAAGGTGTCCTAGGTGTGTCTCTGGGTGGCCTCAGGAGAGGCACCGAAGCCGAGAGTCAAGCAGGACCTTCACTCAAAATAGGTCATGATTTGTGTTTGGTGAGACTGGAAAGGCACGGTGCACTGGGAAATGCTCGAACGAAATGCTACTGTCAACAGGAGGTCTACATTGCCCAGCTTAACCGTGTTAGTGTGGCTATTCTGCTGAAAAGACCCGATAGACAAGGTGAGGTCAACTTGCTCCACGACAACGCCAGGCCCCATAATGCCCAAGTCGTCAAAACAGCACTCCAAAAGCTTGAGTGAGAGGTTCTTCAGCATACACCGCACTCTCCGGGTCTCGCACCTACCGACTACCACCTTTTCGCTCTCTGTCAAAACCAAATGAGGAGTGTTACCTTGATGGCGAAGAGGTTCTTGGAAACTGGCTCAACAACTTCTACGACACCAGACCGGCGGATTTTTGGCCAAACGGCATCAACAAATTGGTCGAGAGATTGGAGGAGGTCGCAAACAGTAACAGGAAGATACATCATTGATTAATTTATTATTATAATTATTGTTTTTTGGTCAAATAAATCTCTGTGAAAAAACTCTACGAACTTATGTTACAACCCAATACATCGAGGTTTCGAACAAATCTTCGGCAGAGACACACACAAACAACGTCTGCGTGTCTCTGTCTCTGAGTGTGTGTGTCTGCGTGTGGGTCTGTGATTGTGTGTGGGTGAATGTCTGCTCGTTTCTGCGCGTGTCTGTGGATGTCTGTGTGTAAGCGTTTCTCTGTGTGTGTATCTGTGTGTGTCTAGGTGTACGTATCTGTAAATGTGTGCCTCCGTAGGTCTCGGTGTTGGGAGTGTCTCCCTGTCTCTGTGCGTCTGTGTGTGTCCGGCCGTCTCTGTGTGTATGTCTAAGTGTATGTGTGTATGTGTGTCTCTGTGTGTGTCTGACTGTGGGCGTCTGTGTGTGTCTGTGCGTGCATCTTCGTGTGCCTGTGCGTGTGCTGTGTGCCTGTGTGTGTCTGTATGCATGTGTCTGTGTAGGTGTGCCTCTGTGTGTGTTTGTCTCTGTGTTTGTCTGTGTGTATGTCTCCGTGTGTGTCTATGAGTGTCTGTGTGCCTGTGTGTAAGTGTCTGTGTGTCATTGTGTGTGTCTGTGTGTGTCCGTGATTGTGCTTGAGTGAGTGTCTGTGCGTGTATCTCCGTAAGTGTCCGTGTGTGCCTGTCTCTGGGTGTGTCTGTTTCTGCGTGTCTGTGTGTATTTGTGTGTGTGTCTGTGTGTGTCTGTTTAGGCGTGCCCTATGTATGTATGTCTGTGTGTCTGTTTGTGTCTGTGTGTGTCTGTCTCTGTGTTTATCGTGTGTGTCTGTGTATGTGTGTTTCTGTGTGTTTGTCTGTGTGTGTCTCTGTATCTCTGTGTGTGTCTGCTTGTGCCTTTGTTTGTCTGTGTGTGTGTGTCTGTGCCTCTGCGTGTGTCTATCTCTGCGTTTGTCTGTTTGTGTATCTCTCTGTGTGTCTGTGTGTCTCTTCGTGTCTGTCTGTGTGCGTCTGTGTGTGTGTGTCTGGCCGTCTAATTGTGTATGTCGCGTCGTGTGTGTGTGTGTGTATGTCGCGTCTGTGTGTGTGTCTGTGCGTGTAGCTCCGTAAGTGTCTGTGTGTGCCTGTCTCTGGGTGTGTCTGATTGTGCGCCTGTGTGTGTCTGTGTGTGTGTCACCGTGTGCGTCTGTGTGTGTCTGGTTTGTATCTGTTTGTGTCCGTGTCTATGTCTCTGTGTGTGTCGGTCTCTGTGTTTGTCTGTGTGTATGTGTCTCCGTGTGTGTCTATGAGTGTCTGTGTGCCTGTGTGTGTCTGTGTGTCATTGTGTGTGTCTGTGATTGTGCCTGAGTGAGTGTCTGTGCGTGTATCTCCGTAAGTGTCTGTGTGTGCCTGTCTCTGGGTGTGTCTCAGTGTTTGCCTGTGTGTAAGTGTCTGTGTAGGTGTGCCTCTGTGTGTGTCTGTCTCTGAGTTTGTCTGTGTGTATGTCTCTGTGTGTGTCTACGTGGGTCTGTGGGTATGTGTCTGTGTGTCTTCGTGCGTGTCTGTGATTGTGCCTGAGTGAGCGTCTGTGCGTGTATCTGCGAGAGTATCTAAGTGTGACTGTCTCTGTGTGTGTCTGTCTGATTGTGCACCTGTGTGTGTCTGTGTGAGTGTGTCACCGTGTACGTCTGTGTGTGTCTGGTGTGTGTCTGTTTCTGTCCTTGTCTATGTCTCTGTGTGTGTATCTGTGTGCCTGTGTGTCTCCTTGTGTCTGTGGCTGTCTGTGTGTATGTCTCTGTGTCTGTTATCTGTGTGTGTGTCTGTGTGCGTCTCTATCTTTGTTTGTGTCTGTTTGTGTCTCTGTCTCTGTGTGTGTATGTGTACATATCTATGTATGTGTGCCTCTGTGTGTGTCTGCTTGTGTCTGTGTTTGTCTGTGTGTGTGTGTGTGTCTGTGCCTCTGCGTGTGTCTGTCTCTGTGCTTGTCTGTTTGTGTGTCTCTCTGTGTGTCTCTTCGTGTCTGTCTGTGTGCGTCTGTGTGGGACTGGCCGTCTATATGTCTATGTCTAGGTGTATGTGTATGTGTATGTTTGACTGTGTGCATCTGTGTGTGTCTGGCCGTCCATATGTGTATGTCTAAGTGTATGTGTGTATGTGTGTGTCTGTCTGCGTGTCTGATTGCGTGCGTCTGTGTGTGTCTGTGTGTGCATCTGTGTGCGCCTGTGTGTGTCTGTGATTGTGCTTGAGTGAGTGTCTGTGCGTGTATCTCTGTAAGTGTCTGTGTGTGCCTGTCTCTTGGTGTGTCTGTCTGTGCGTGTCTCTGTGCATTTGTGTGTGTGTCTGTATATGTCTGTGTGCGTCTGTTTAGGCGTGCCCAATCTATGTATGTCTGTGTGTCTGTTTGTGTCTGTGTGTGTCTGTCTCTGTGTTTATCGTGTGTGTCTGTGTATGTGTGTTTCTGTGTGTGTCTCTGTACCTCTGTGTGTGTCTGCTTGTGCCTTTGTTTGTCTGTGTGTGTGTGTCTGTGCCTCTGCGTGTGTCTATCTCTGCGTTTGTCTGTTTGTGTATCTCTCTGTGTGTCTGTGTGTCTCTTCGTGTCTGTCTGTGTGCGTCTGTGTGTGTGTGTGTCTGGCCGTCTAATTGTGTATGTCGCGTCTGTGTGTGTGTGTGTGTGTGTCACCGTGTGCGTCTGTGTGTGTCTGGTTTGTATCTGTTTGTGTCCGTGTCTATGTCTCTGTGTGTGTCGGTCTCTGTGTTTGTCTGTGTGTATGTGTCTCCGTGTGTGTCTATGAGTGTCTGTGTGCCTGTGTGTAAGTGTCTGTGTGTCATTGTGTGTGTGTGTGTGTGT